TGTCCCCATTGATGTCCCCGTTGTCCCCTGCAGTCCTCGCGGGTGACGGCGCTCTGCCTGTACCGGGACCTTTCCGGAATGTCCCCGTTGATGTCCCCAATGTCCTCACTGACGTCCTCAATGTCCTCAATGTCCCCGTTGATGTCCCCAATGTCCCCAGTGTCCCCATTGATGTCCCCATTGATGTCCCCAATGTCCCCGTTGATGTCCCCAATGTCCCGTTGTCTCCTGCAGTCCTCGCGGGTGACAGCGCTCTGCCTGTACCGGGACCTTTCTGGAATGTCCCCGTTGATGTCCCCAATGTCCCCAGTGTCCCCATTGATGTCCCCAATGTCCCCGTTGATGTCCCCAATGTCCCATTGTCCCCTGCAGTCCTCGCGGGTGACAGCGCTCTGCCTGTACCGGGACCTTTCCGGAATGTCCCCATTGATGTCCCCAGTGTCCCCAGTGTCCCCATTGATGTCCCCAATGTCCCCGTTGATGTCCTCAGTGTCCCCAATGTCCCCATTGATGTCCCCAATGTCCCCATTGCTGTCCCCAATGTCCCCGTTAATGTCCCCAATGTCCCATTGTCCCCTGCAGTCCTCGCGGGTGACGGCGCTCTGCCTGTACCGGGACCTTTCCGGAATGTCCCCATTGCTGTCCCCAATGTCCCCATTGCTGTCCCCAATGTCCCCGTTAATGTCCCCATTGATGTTCCCATTGTCTCCTGCAGTCCTCGCGGGTGACAGCGCTCTGCCTGTACCGGGACCTTTCCGGAATGTTCACCACCGAGAGCCGCGCCCCCCGCGAGGAGCCCCCGCCCCGCCCCCACGCCGAGGCCGAGACCCTCATCCAGGACCTCAGGTGGGTCACAAGGTCCCCAAGGTGTCCCCAGGTGTCCCCAAGATGTCCCCAGGTGTCCCCAGTCTCCAGGTATTCCCAGCTGTGTCTCCAGCGATGTTCTCAGGTGTCCCCAGGTGTGTCCCAGGTGTGTCTCAGGTGTCCCCCAGGTGTGTCCCAGGTGTGTCCCAGCTGTGCCCAATCTCCAGGTGTTCCTGGTTGTGTCTCCAGGGATGTTCTCAGGTGTATCTCAGGTGTGCCCGGGTGTGTCCAGGTGTTCCCCAGGTGTGCCCAGTTGTATCGCAGGTGTGCCCAGCTGTATGTCAGGTCTATCCTAGGTGTGCCCAGGTGTCCCCAGGTGTGCCCAGGTGGTTCCCAGGTGCATCCAGGTAACTCAGGTGTGTCCAGGGTTTCCTCAGTGTATCCCAGATGACCCCAGGTGAACTCAGGTGTGCCCAGGTCTATCCCAGCTGTATCCCAGATAACTCAGGTGTGCCCCAGGTGTGCCCATATGTGCCCAGGTCTATCCCAGGTGTACCCAGGTGTGCCCAGGTGTGCCCAGGTAACTCAGGTGTGCTGTCTCCCGCAGCGGCTCGGTGGACGACGAGGAGGAGATGCTGTACGGGGACTGGGGGGTGTTTCCAGGGGGGTCCCAGGTGTATCCCAGGTGTATCCCAGGTGTATCCCAGGTCTATCCCAGGTGTGCCCAGGTGTGCCCAGGTGTGCCCAGGTAACTCAGGTGTGCCGTCTCCCGCAGCGGCTCGGTGGACGACGAGGAGGAGATGCTGTACGGGGTCTGGGGGGTGTTTCCAGGGGGGTCCCAGGTGTATCCCAGGTGTACCCCAGGTGTACCCAGGTCTATCCCAGGTGTATCCCAGGTGTACCCCAGGTGTACCCAGGTCTATCCCAGGTGTACCCAGGTGTGCCCAGGTGTGCCCAGGTAACTCAGGTGTGCTGTGTCCCGCAGCGGCTCGGTGGATGACGAGGAGGAGATGCTGTACGGGGACTCGGGGGGCTCGGGCCGCTCGCCGCCCCGGGAGGAGCCGCGGCGGGCGGGACCCCCCGAGCGCGAGCCGGCCCCGCTCCGGCCCGAGCCCTCGCACTGGTGCGTGCTGGCCCGGGAGAACGGCCACATGGAGGTACTGGGAGCACTGGGAGGGACTGGGAACTGGGAATGGGGAACTGGGAACGGGGCTGGGAACTGGGAACAGGAACTGGGAACGGGGATGGGGAGACTGGGAATGGGAACTGGGAATGGGGAACTGGGAACGGGGCTGGGAACTGGGAACAGGAACTGGGAACGGGGATGGGGAGACTGGGAACGGGGCTGGGAACTAGGAATGGGAACTGGGAATGGGGCTGGGAATGGGAATGGGACTGGGGAACTGGGAATGGGGCTGGGAACTGGGAACGGGGATGGGGAACTGGGAACGGGGATGGGAAACTGGGAACGGGGCTGGGGACTGGGAATGGGAACTGGGAACAGGGCTGGGGAACTGGGAACGGGGATGGGAAACTGGGAATGGGGCTGGGGAACTTGGAACGGGGCTGGGAACTGGGAACGGGGATGGGGAACTGGGAACAGGGCTGGGGAACTGGGTATGGGGCTGGGGAACTGGGAATGGGAACTGGGAACTGGGAACGGGGATGGGGAACTGGGAATGGGAACTGGGAACTGGGAATGGGAACTGGGAACAGGGCTGGGGAACTGGGAACGGGGATGGGAAACTGGGAATGGGGATGGGAATGGGGCTGGGAATGGGAATGGGGCTGGGGAACTGGGAACGGGGATGGGAAACTGGGAACGGGGCTGGGAACTGGGAATGGGAACTGGGAACAGGGCTGGGGAACTGGGAACGGGGATGGGAAACTGGGAATGGGGCTGGGGAACTGGGAACGGGGCTGGGAACTGGGAACGGGGATGGGAACTGGGAATGGGGCTGGGAACTGGGAACGAGGATGGGAACTGGGAACGGGGATGGGGAACTGGGAACGGGGCTGGGAAACTGGGAATGGGGCTGGGAACTGGGAATGGGGATGGGAATGGGGCTGGGAATGGGAACGGGGCTGGGAACTGGGAACGGGGCTGGGAACTGGGAATGGGGCTGGGAACTGGGAACGGAGTTCCAGTATTCCCATTTTCCAGTTGCTGTTTTCCCTCTGGAATTCCCATTGTTCTCCTGTCACAATTCCCATTGTTTTCCTGCAGGAATTCCCATTGTTTTCCTGCAGGAATTCCCATTGTTCTCCTGTCACAATTCCCATTGTTTTCCTGTCACAATTGCCATTCTCCCCCCATAACTCCCATTGTTTTTCCACCATGATTTTTGTTTTCCTTCTGGAATTCCTGTCATTTTCCCTCCAGAATTCCTGTTTTTCAATTCCCATTTCCCCCCAGAATTCCCACTGTTTTCCCCCTGGAATTCCCATTGGTTTCCTGCAGGAATTCCCATCATTTTCCTGTCACAATTCCCATCATTTTCCCGTCACAATTCCCATCCTTTACCTACCAGAATTCCCATTTTCAGTTGCTCTTTTCTTGCTGCCATTCCCATTCCCCTCCCCATGTAACTCCCATTCTTCTCCCACCGTCATTTTCGTTCTCCCATCAAAATCCTCATTTTTTTTCCCCGTAATTCCCATTTTTCCCATTTTCCCCAAGATCTCCCAGGTTCCTGAGTGGTGCCTGGTTTTCCTGGTGCAGAATTCCCAGCAGGGCAGCGGGTGCTGGTGGATTCCTCCTTCGGGCAGCCCCAGTTCCCATTTTCCCCCAGAATTCCTGGTGTTTTCCCCCTGGAATTCCCATTGGTTTCCTGCAGGAATTCCCATCATTTTCCCATCACAATTCCCATCATTTTCCTGTCACAATTCCCATCATTTTCCTGTCACAATTCCCATCGTTTTCCTACCAGAATTCCCATTTTCAGTTGCTCTTTTCTTGCTGCAATTCCCATTCCCCCACCGATAACTCCCATTCTTCTCCCACCGTCATTTTCCTTCTCCCATCAAAATTCCCATTTTTTCCCCCCGTAATTCCCACTTTTCCCATTTTCCCCAGGATCTCCCAGGTTCCCAAGTGGTGCCTGGTGTTCCTGGTGCAGAATTCCCAGCAGGGCAGCGGGTGCTGGTGGATTCCTCCTTCAGGCAGCCCCAGTTCCCATTTCCCCCCAGAATTCCTGGTGTTTTCCCCCTGGAATTCCCATTGTTTTCCTGCAGGAATTCCCATCATTTTCCTGTCACAATTCCCATCATTTTCCCGTCACAATTCCCATCCTTTTCCTACCAGAATTCCCATTTTCAGTTGCTCTTTTCTTGCTGCCATTCCCATTTCCCTCCCCATACAACTCCCATTCTTCTCCCACCGTCATTTTCGTTCTCCCATCAAAATTCCCATTTTTTCCCCCCGTAATTCCCACTTTTCCCATTTTCCCCAAGATCTCCCAGGTTCCTGAGTGGTGCCTGGTGTTCCTGGTGAAGAACTTCCCAGCAGGGCAGCGGGTGCTGGTGGATTCCTCCTTTGGGCAGCCCCAGTTCCCATTTCCCCCCAGAATTCCTGGTGTTTACCCCTGGAATTCCCATTTTCCAATTGTTGTTTTCCTGCTGGAATTCCCATTGTTTCCCCTCTGGAATCCCCATTGTTTTCCTCACAGAATTCCCATTGTTTTCCTCTCAGAATTCCCATTCCTCTCCCCCACCAATAACTCCCATTGTTCTCCCTGTGTGATTTTTGTTTTCCCATCATCATTCCCACCATTTTCCCCGTGGAATTCCCACTGTTCTCCTGTCACAATTCCCATCATTTTCCTGCAGGAATTCCCATCATTTTCCCATCACAATTCCCATAGTTTTCCTACCAGAATTCCCATTTTCAGTTGCTCTTTTCTTGCTGCCATTCCCATTTCCCTCCCTATATAACTCCCATTCTTCTCCCACCGTCATTTTCGTTCTCCCATCAAAATTCCCATTTTTTTTCCCCACTTTTCCCATTTTCCCCAAGATCTCCCAGGTTCCCAAGTGGTGCCTGGTGTTCCTGGTGCAGAATTCCCAGCAGGGCAGCGGGTGCTGGTGGATTCCTCCTTCAGGCAGCCCCAATTCCCATTTCCCCCCAGAATTCCTGGTGTTTACCCCTGGAATTCCCATTGGTTTCCTGCAGGAATTCCCACTGTTCTCCTGTCACAATTCCCATCATTTTCCTGTCACAATTCCCATCATTTTCCCATCACAATTCCCATCCTTTTCCTACCAGAATTCCCATTTTCAGTTGCTCTTTTCTTGCTGCAATTCCCATTCCCCCACCGATAACTCCCATTCTTCTCCCACC